TATGTGTCGAGTTGCTTTAGAAAGTTCACAAATCACAAATATGAACCGAAGATGTTCGCAAGCAATTGGAGCATGGCTAGATATATATATATATATATATTTTACTATCTGGTATTTTGGTTCTGGTATCTGGTTTGCCCCAAATCGTACACATCAATTTTCCGCCCATTTCCCGCCCGTGGAAAATTTAAATCTAGCCTTACGATCTCGAACAGCTCGTCTCACGTTATATTTTATATAGATATTATTTGTTTGAAGTCCAGCAATTAAAAACTTTCACACAAACAACGCTTGACTCTCATTTTCCATCCAAAAAGGGGGGAAAATGTGACACACATCTCAAATGCATCTATTGAGTATCTTTGGAATTCTCGCATACAACCTTTTTACGACATTTTTACGACAGCTTATTACAATTGCGAAAGAAATTCTCCAAATCGCACGAAAACCCATTTGTGGAGATCCATGTAAACAGGCGAAAATAACTTTATGGATATTCGCACTCAACGACCTTTAAATTTCCATAAAGATCCTTCTATATGAACTTGAGCCCGGAGTGTGAAACGCCTCTCAAATGAATTCGAACTAAGATCTCAGGTTTGATAACGATCGATTGGTAAACAATAAAGTTTCATGTAATCGCTTTCCACGATTTTTTCACTCAAGTGGGTGGAATTTCCGAAACCTTACAATTTTACCTTCCCAGCTCTTACGGCTCATCAGCTAGTCAGTCAGTCAGCTGGGACCAACTGTTTCCTATTTGAAGATATATTTATTCATTTACCATTTCGAGCTCCATCTCAACGCTCCACTTGATATGCTGCAATTTTGTGAATCCACCTTTGCCCAAAAGGCACTTGGCAGAAGAAAACGCTTCATTCAACAAGCATCTGAGCTGCAGCAACTTAATGAATTTCTAATCATCAGATGTGACAGTGTGTGCTGTCTGCTCTAATCTGGCCGAGTTGCAGCCGAAAGTTGACCGAAATATATGTGTGTGTGTGTGTGTGTGTGTGTGTGGGATGCCACATTTACGAATGAGAACTTTGTGCAGCCAATTCTGTGGCATTTACGTTGCTAATTTAAAGCTCAGCCCGGGGTCAAGAGCTGCTTCAGCTTGGCCAAGGTGCGCGCGCGTGTGTGTGTGTGTGTGTGTGTAAGTGCAGTAAATAGTCAAATGCAAACTATTTACCACAGATTGAACAACAGTTGCATAACTAAGCATTACAAAGCGACCAACTGCGGTCGTTTCGCAACTGACCGGACGGCCAAAGGGGGCGGCGGGCGGCGGGCGGAGAGTGCAAACGAAGTAGCTCCCGCAGTGTTTGCAATTTTAACTATGTCACACACACACACACACACACACACACACACACACACAAAGATAGAGTCCCGCCAGAGACATGGAGCAGTCGAGTGGCAGTCCATTAAACATATAAGTACACCTATTAATGTTCAAAAAGGAGGGCAGCAGGAAGCAAGGCTGTGGGGGGGCGGGGGGATGGGGGTTGGGTGGTGTCAGGTCTGTGGTTTGGGGCAGCGAATGCGAAATCAAAAGCACAATATAATACTTAATACTTTTGCAATATTACAAAATGGCATTTTGCACTCAGAGACAATTACAAAGTGCTCAAGAAAGTGCTTAAAATGGAGACAGAGACAGAGACACACAGAAAGAGAGAGAGAGAGAGAGAGAGAGTGACACTTGACCATATAATGTAACTCATCTTAAGCACATTAAGCCTCATCCACAACCACATCCACAGGCAATCCAGAAACCCAATTCGGAACAGCGTGCGGCCAAAGATGATGGGCTGAAATGGCTGCCGGCCACAAAAGCACAGCCAACTGCGGTTTGCCTCTTCAATTATGGCACACTGTGTGCGTGTGTGTGCGAGTGTGTGCGAGTGTGTGTGTGTGTGGATTAAAAGTCGATCAAAATGTACATAAAAGTCATTGACTTAACAGGCAGCGGCAAACCTGGTTACCAAGTTATGCGACACCTGGCCAAATCTTGAGGCAACATTCGCCATTTGCATGCAGCGAAAAGGCAGCACAACACATACATACACACATATATATATTCATGTGTGTGTGTGTGTGCGTGGGGCCGCATCGGCTGGCTGGTTTCACATGCCGCACGACAACACTGGCGCTCGCGTGTGAAATTAAATTGTTTGTTGGTTTCGCAGAAAATGAAAATAAAGTCCTTTGCTGCCGCAGCGGCATGCCCCGAGGCCTGCAAGGCCCAGCCACATTGACAGTGGGCGTGCCCACCTGCGACGCCCACCTGCACAGCACTCGAGTGATGAAAAGCCGCCGAGCGGCTGTCACCTGGCGGTTGCTGCGGTCGTCTGCTTTTCTGTTGGCATGAGCCCAAAAAATGTTTGCGATCAACATTTTCTGGCACGTTGTGTTTCTGAGGTTAGATTGAGTTGTGTGCACGTCTGTGTGTGTGTGTGTGTGTGTGTGTGTGCTTCGCCTTGTCAAAATTATGTCAAAGACCTGAACAAAGGAAAGAAGAAGAAAAAAAGCAGCGAGGTTTAACTGAGTTGACAATTCGCTTGGCTTTGCTTCGATCGCAATCACTGAGCAAGAGCTCTTTAAGTGAGGTTAGGTTGAGCATGAGCCATAAATGTGTGGTTAGAGACGACATAAATGCAGTACAAAATTAAGGTTAAGTGCGGCTAGCATCAACTGCAATGCATAACTATTTCCTTGTCTGCGAAATTGTCATTAACTAAAGCTTAAAGAGATGATTTGAGATAGTTGAATATGCAAAATTATATTGCAATTTAATATAATAAAGAAACTGTGAGATAAAGTTAGGTTAGGTATGACTTTAAGCTAAATAAATGCATATAGCTTGCATAGTCTGCACATGAAGTGCCTTAAACTGAATATATATGAATATATATGTATATGGCTAACAATACAAGTACAATATTAAAGTGCTCTAAAGTGTTTGTCTTTTGAGTTTCTGTTGCCTAACACTAGACCTCTCAGTCAGCAGCTGCGCTGAAGCAGTTGCCATATTTAGTTTCATACGCCATGTATCACATTGGAGGCCATGAAAAGTGCTTTTGTAATGAGTCGAGCATGATTCTGGTTGATTTTCTTTTTTGCTTGTTTTCTTCTTGGTTGTTTCGTCAAATTCCACTGGGATGCAAAAACAATATTCAACACACAGAGACACACGCTCGTGCACATTTTCTGCTGGTCATTCAATTTGCTCCTGCCACATCCTGACGCACAGCAACCCCCTCGTTGCCCCCCAAAAAAAAAATACCCCCTCCAGTTTTAATGCTCCATAATAAAGTGTTTAGCAACTATGCAGCGGCTGCTCATTATTTCCCTACCTTCTATGTGGTCGGTGTCCATTCAGGTCCATTTCCATATTGTAAAACATGCTTTTTCCAACACTTGACACACACACACACACACACACACGCACACACATGCATGCGAGCATTCATCCATCAGTGTACACACGCATTTTGGAAAATATTTTACTCCGTTTATTGGTAAATTTTAGCTCGGCCTCAACGACATGAAGCGCACTGCAGTCGAAGCTCTCGAGCATCCAAAAATCACGACACCTAACCGCAACAGCAGCGAACAACGCCCCCATCCACGCCCTCTACAATCTATCCTCCCATCAAATACAAAATGTTGGCTTTTTTTTTTTTGTTTCACAGCATGCAACATGTTCAACCTCAAACTAACTGCAACATGTAGCACTAGCATGTGTGTGGTTGCCAAAGTGTTCTCAAGTGTGTATGTATGTATGTGTGTGTGTGTGTGTGTGCGTGTGTGTGTGTGTGTGTGTTGGAGCGATACATCAACAGCACCAAGTGCCATTGGTATGTTTGGCGGGTTTTGACTTTATTGTAGGTTTTAATGTTCGATTGTGAACAGGTATTACCATAGCGCTATATTATACGGTCACACTAAAAAACGATCGCACTTTAATTTGGTCACACTAAGTCATTGTCACTCTGAAATGTAAATTGACTATAATCTGGTTACACTGTTAGCGGACTGTAATCTGTTCATACTGATATACGACCTCATTAAAACACAGTCACATTGAAATATGGTCACACTGAAATCTGACCAGAGTCGCATTGAAATCTGGTCATCGCATTGAAATTCCTTCACGCTGAAAATCGATCCCACCGAAATGCAATCGCCCTAAAAGCTGGTCACATTGAAATTCAGTCGCACTAAAACACAGCCACACTTAAATATGCCACTAGTAATAGCTCCGAATATGGTCACACTGCAAAATAGTTTGTAAAAAGGTATTTACCCCATCAGAGAAATCATGGCATTGTCATTGGACTTTGCTACTCGCACTTGGCACTCGAATCTGTGAGGTCGTCGGGTAATACGATTGCCTAAAAGCGACTGCATGTAATTCAATTAATTCGGCTGCAGTCGCACAGAGTTGCCAGACCAACGCAATTTGCCACATTTATGAAAGCGAAATTGAGTTTCGCAGCTGTAACCGCATATTGTAGTTCGTTTTGATCGCTAGCTGAAAGCCATGCCCCATGCCAAATAATTTTTACTCAACTCGGAGCACACACAAATATACACCCAACCCCCGCCTTCCCCCTCTCCTGCAGCAATTGCTTTGCATCTGTGGCACTAACATAATTGTTCGGAACGAACCGCAGAACTTTTGTTTAATAGACCCAATCACAAATGCTCTACCGCCACATGATAGGCGCCCACTAGGTCCGCTCTCCATGGGAGCTGCCTAGGCGCAGCCACACACACACACACACACACACACACACACTTAACTCAAGTTTCATTCAATTATTGTTAAGCACCTCAAGTTTTCTTAGCCACACACCGCAATGCACCCACGAGCCCGCCCACGCAGCATGTTTGGTGGCAAAAAGTGGAAACGGTGCAGGAGGCCCTAAATGGAGGCCACTTGCTGGTAACGGCAACCCAAGAGCCGCTGCTCAGCGGCTGCCCGCCGCCAACTAGCTATACACAAAGTCCTGGCCCAGGGCCTGGCCTGTAAGCAGCAGCAGCAGCAGCTGTTTGTTGTTGTCCTTGTCGTAGCGATTGTTGTTCCTGTTGTTGCTGTTGTTGATGTTCTTGATGTCTGCTTGGTTTTGCAATTTGACAGAAATGTTGGCGCACAATTTTCATGTTGGCCAAATGACGCGCCAATGTCTACAGAGACCAGACCAGGCCAGACCAGGCCCGACCAGGCCAGACCGCACTAGCATACATAGACGGCGTGTGTGTGTCTAGATGCCTAGATGCTATGGTTGGCACTCCCATGGCGGGTCCCGACGAGCCTGACACCAATACTAATGCCTGCGATTAACATTCGCAATGTATTTCGAATGGGCTAATGGTGCGCACAATTGGAACTGGAATTGGAACTGGAGCTGGAGCTGGAGCTGGGACTAGCTGAAGACATGGCCCATGCCTGTTGGCAATGGGCAGGAACATGTCTGGGTGCACATACCTATAATAAAAGCGACTCACACACACACACACCCACAAAGAGAGAGAGGTGTTATAACTTGCCACAGCAAAAATGTGCGATAAACTACTTGGCACTTAGAGCCTGCCGAGAGGAAATACCAGCAGCAAGAGCCGTAAGAGCAGCAACGGGTCAAGGAGTCGCCGTCGCCCACGACATGAACCAAAATGGCGGCACAGCTCGTTACATGATGCCACAAATCAGGGCTGCGAAAAACTTAAAAAAAAAATAAGAAAGGAACAGAAAATAAATTGGTAAAACGGGTGCTAAAGAAACGGTTTCAACTTGGCAGCCAGTTGGCAGTAAAGTTGGGTAAAACTTGATTTCCACAAAATGCTGAGATTTGCGCCCAACATAAGGAATGCGGTTCAAGTGCAAGTCGAACCAGTTCCTGTAGTTCCTGTACCAGTTCGCATTTGGAGGCGAGCTGGCAGCCCTAAAAGGCGGCCACGTAGCTCGCATAACTTGCCAACAATTTACGCCTATTACACATAAAACTCGCCCCACGAGCCAAACCCAAAGAAAGGGGTGTGCGTCGGTGTGCGTCGGTGTGCGTGGGTGTGCGTGGGTGTGCGTCGGTGTATCGGTGTGTGTGTGGGTGTGGCTGCCTGTCGCACGTTGGGCGCCAGGGCGCGTCTAGAGTGGAGTTTATTTTCAGTGCGGTTTGATTTTATGCAAATGATTTTGCGACGAGTCGCCTGCAAAGGGAATGCTAAGAATGCTGAATGCTCAACCGATGGCAACTTGCAACAACTTTCTGCCAAATCAATTCGAGCTTACCACAGTGACACACACATAAACAGAGCGAGAGAGAGAGAGAGAGAAAGATGGGAGCCAGAAATATATGTAACGAGAAAGAAGTGCTATCTTCGGCACGCCGAAGATTTAATACCCTTGCAGACCCAACCTTTTTCAAAATGCTCATAGTGCTTTGCCCGTATCTATGAAGCACAGCGAAAATAGTTAATGCCGTGTATGGTTAAGATATCTTGAAAAACAAAACAGGTTTCCATTCAACAACTTCATTTTCGACCGATCGTTCCTATGGCAGCTATATGATATAGTTGTCCGATCTTAATAGGATTTTGCATATATATGGGGAGCGTAGTAAAACTAATAAATACCAAGTTTAGTCAAGATTACTTTATAAACAAAAATGTTTTTCATACAAGAACCTACTTTTCGACCGATCGTTCCTATGGCAGCTATATGATATAGTGGTCCGATCCAACTGGTTTTGACATATGAGCTGCGTGCAACAGAAAGAGGAAATTCTGCAAAGTTTCATAAAGATAGCTTTAAAACTGAGAGACTAGTTCGCATAGAAACAGACAGACGGACAGACGGACATGGCTATATCAACTCGGCTGTTGATACTGATCAAGAATATATATGTATACTTTATGGGGTCGGAGATGTCTCCTTCTATGCGTTACACATTTCACGACAAAATTATAATACCCTCTGCAAGGGTATAAAAACATTAATGAAGATTAAATACCCTTCTACACATTTGGCTTGATGGCAAAGCTTAATGTCAGACCGATTGTTCCTATAGTTTACATATTATATAGTGGACCGATTTGTTACGGCTTGCCAGATATTTAAGATGTACTAGTACTAGCGGCTAGTAATTGCTGAGATTGCTTAAGCTAACATATCTTGGGTAACAGTAAAGTTTTCCATGCAAAAAGTCATTTTTCGTACAATTCTACATACAGAGCTACATAAGGTATGATCCGAAGTTATACGATGTACCCGAAATAAAGTTTCGAGTTAACATTTAAAACTGAGGGGCAAGTTTGTATAGAAACTGCCAGAAGGACAGACTCGACGGGTTCTCGACTGTGACTCGACTGATCGAGAATATATATGCATTATGGTTTCCAAAAAGTCTGCTTCTATGCGTTACACCTTTCGTGACAAAACTAAAATACCCTCTAAGGAGAGAATTGTGAGAAAAATGTGTGGTAAGGCGCCGCATTTGCAATTTGTGCGCTTGTCACAAAGGACACTGCCAGCTGCAACAAAAACAATGGAATGGAACGGAGTGGAATGGAATGGAATGGAATGGAATGGAATGGAATGGAATGGAACGGTGCAGGATATGCAAATAGTCAAATAACCGTTGTCTGCCGCACCTGACCTTTTCCAATGGGACTTAAGCTGGCCGTTTTTTTGGCATTTACCATTTTGTTTTCAGCAATAACCTTTGACCTCACTGCTAGCAAAACATTTTAACTGCAAATTATCGCTCTGAGAATTTGTACGTCTGGAATATGTCGGGCTGTTGAACAAGGTGTTAAACAGAAAACGAATGTAAATGAGCTTTCGTACGTTAAAAATATTTCAATTAAAAAAAGATTACACACAAATCCGATTAAATAAAGAACCAACGAGCTGTGCATCAATTTTAATTGACTCATAATTCAGAAGTATGAAATTAATACAAACACGCCGAAGATAGAATACACTTACGAAGAGCTTGGCCGATTGTTTCTACAGTAGCTAAATGATATAGTGTTAAGATATCTAGGAACTATGTTTTGTTTTAAATATCTTGAAGAGCAAAAGGGGGCTTCTATAAATATTGATAAGACTTTGCTCAGAGATCTTGCACAAAAGGAAAGTTTTTCTACGAACAAATGCATTGTCGACCAATCATTCCAGCCGATCCATCTGACTCCGCAAGATATTCTGCCTGTCCACAAACAGGCGGACAACATAATGTCAACTTATCTATACATACTGTTCAAGAGTATATATATATATTTTTATGGGCTCGGAGATGCATCCAGTAATGCACTACACATTTCCTGACAAGCTTATTATACCCTCTCCATGGGCATACAAAATATGCAAGTAGAATTCTTTCAATTTTGACTTTTTAAGTTTTCTAACACTGAACCAAAAACAGTAACACAAATGTAAAGGCCCAGTACTGCTCAGTACATGGATTTCAAATAAATAGCTTTACCAACACTGGTAGAATTTTCCAACAAGGCCACACTTCGAAAGAGAAAGCTGTATTATATGTTAAAATAAATATTAAAGATCCGAATAGTTTTTTGAGTGTCTTTACCAACACTTTGTTAGCGCTAAGTTCCCGTTGAATATTCTATTCTTTTTTTTATTGTGACAACTAAACATAAAATGTTTCTATATTAAAAATTAAAAATGTTTGAAAATGAGAAACATAAATGAGAAAACTAAAATATTTGACTTAACTTTCCAAATTTTGTTGATCTGCGCAAGTTGAAGCCAACAATTACTTGAGGCTAGCAATTTTCAGCTTGTGTATAATAATAAGTTGTGTTCGTGTAGTTAAACTTATGTCAGGCACTGTGCCAGGCCAGAAGGCGACCAATTGGTCTGCATACGTGCGGGGTGTTTATGTGAAGGTTAAAAATGCATAAACTCACACACACACACACACACACACACATACACAGACAACGCCAGGGCAGAGCACGTTTTTGCTTAGTTATTAATATTTAAACTTGAAATTTAAATGCAATGCATGAACCGCAAATGATCGAAGGCAAGGGCAAAAAAGTGAAATAACAGTTGTTGCTTTATCTCTTCCAGCTACCGCCCACACTCTACCCTCTCTCGCACTCTCACACTCTACCCTCTCTCGCACTCTCACACTCTCTCATGCTCTCACTTTTATCTGTGCTCTGTATAAATAGTTTTGTTTGTGTTTGTGTGTTGCGTGTGTCTGTGTGCATTTCTTTGTTTGTCCTTTGTTGTTGTTTTAGCAATATATTAAAATTCAATTTAATACAATTTCAATTGCTTGTGCGTGCGAATACAATTGCTAAAGCGAGAGACGAACTGTGTGTGCGGGCAACAGAGAGAGAGAGAGAGAGGGAGAGAGAGAAGTAGAGCAAAAGAGAGAGCAGCAGTAGATAGTTATACGGATAGAGCCGAAGAACGAAATGGCAAAAGGTGTTGATTTATCAGTGTGCGTGTGTGAGTGTATACTTTTGTTTGTGTGTGTGTGTGTGTGTGTGTTGGTGTATATTTGTGTTTTTTGCAGCGCTTTGCATGCAAAACGTGCGAGCTGCTGTTGCCATTGTTGTTGTTGTCGATGTTGTTGTTGCTTTGGTTGTTGTTGTTGTTGTTGCTGCCGTCGTTATTTATGCAGCGCCAACGTCCCTTTGCTGATATTTGCATGCAGGGTTGCCAGCGACAGTTGTTGTTGTTGTTGTTGTTGTTGTTGTTGTTGTTGCTGTTGCTGTTGTTGTTGTGGCTGCCGCTTAATGATGAGCTCCAACCTGAGCCACATGCAAGAGTCGAGGTCATTTTGTGTCATGTCAATTGCTATTCCTCGTTGTTGCTGCTGCTTCTTGCTGCTGTTGCTGCTGTTGCTGCTGCTGCCTGTTGCAATTTGCATTTCATTTTTGCCTTTGTCGTGCGAAATATCATTAAATTAAAGGGACAGCTAAAAATCAAAATCTACAAAATCCACATGAACGCAAAATGCACGACAACGTTGTTGTTCGTCTTCTTGTTCATGTTGCTTTTGTTGTTGCGACAAAATTGTAAAACGTTACGAAATCATCAGCACAGAACCCATCTAAGGCACTTTCTTAGGCTTGCCGAACATAAAATACCCTTCCTATGCGAACCATGATTCGGTTTGTTATGGGCTGGCAGATTAATGTGGCAACTCAAAGAAGAACTTGTGGAACCATAGAGCTATTAGATATAGATATATAGATATTAAAGCTTTACTTGCGACAATTGTTCCTATGCGCCTTGCTTCGGCACGTCGAAGATTAAATACCCTGGCAAGCATAAGGGGAGCTATATGATATGGAATAAAATCTGGCAAAACAAGGAAGACATTTAAGAACCATAGAACTAGAAGATATAATATATAAATATCAAAGTTCTACATCAGACCGATTGTAGCTATGGGAGCTATATGATATAGTTGTTCGACTTGATATGGGCTTGCAGGTATATTAGGAGAAAGCTCGATAATGTTGAGTTTTGTCAAGATATCTAAACAAACAGAAAAGAAAAAGAAATATAGTAGTATACCCAAGCTCAAATGTTATGATATTTCTGAAGAACAGAACGTGTTTGATACCAGAACTTAAATTGTAACCAATTTTACCTATGTCAGCTGTATGATATAGTCATCCGATCCGGCCGGCTACGATATAGCTTGAAACTAGATAAATTCGTTTGCGTCACACATTTTATATCGAAATTGAAATAACCAACACCAAAAGAGTATAAAAGCAGCAAAATAACCACACACACACACACACACATCTATTTGAATGTACACTATATATGTCCAATATTTTTACAGCCTGTGCTCTTGCCTGTGTGTGTGTGTGTGTGTGTGCGTGTGTGTGTGTGTGTTCTGCTAAAAATGCAATGCATGCGCGTGTCTGTCTCTATGCAATTCGCACTCGCTCGCACACAGGCATATTAATTATTTTCGCAACAATATTTCTGAATCGGGAGAGTTGTTGAGCTTTCTCGGAAATGGGAGGCGAAATGCACAAAGAGCTCAACTGGGCCATTGTCCGTGTGAATGGGAAGGCGAGTGCACAAAAAGCTAATTGAAAGGAATGCGAATAAATCAAATTGCAACAAGTGCTAATTAGGTGCACAACATGCCACAAATTCCAAGAAAACTCTCGTTCTGCGATATTCAGGTGCATGCAGCAAATAACAAAGTCCACTTAAGCCATCGCCCACTCGAAGTAATTGAAATTCTCGGTAACCCTTTGATCTAGAATTTCAGTCTAGTTTCATTTGCCATACACGCTGCTTACACGTTTGTAAGAATATATCTTTTTATACATACATATATATTATATAATTTTATATATTTTGAGAGAGTTGTATGAAACACATACTTGTTGGTTCGCTTGGTTCGTGAACATGGTTGTTTCCCTTTTCATGAACCCAGCTTGTGGTATGGTTAGATAAATGCAATGCTTAGGCAACTATTTGTATTGCTTTCATGCTAAATCGCCCTGCAAATCGCCCTGCAAATCGATATCGAATCGAATCTTTAAGGAAAATGCCTAAGAACGGTTCGGGCTTCGATTCAGCTGATTTCGAGCTCGGTTCATGGTTCATAAAAATATTGAAATTCGTACCTTGCCCGGCCTTGCCTGATTCCAGTTTACAGCGTTAAATTTCTAAAATTTTTCATGTAAACCATTCAAATCTGCCCGTATACGTCTTTAGTTAAACTTAATATAGAAAGAGATCAACTGCATTTACATAAAGATTCTTGGCAACGAGTTTATAAATCATTCAACAAATGTTTCTTGCCCATTTTCACCAAGGCTCGGTGGATTTTGCGAAATGTGTGAAAAACATCTCAAATGAATCGTTACCAAGATTTTTGAAATTGAAAGTACCAACATTACCTGGGCCAAATAAAGTCACATTATTAAACATTAAAGCAACTTGTGCTGAGCAGAATGTGATAACATTGAACTATTTAAAACACGAATGTGTACAGGGTATTAGATCTTAGGCCAGGCTGGCTTTAAGCAACAATTTTGAGCTGTCCGATAGGAAGCACAATCTCACAACAATAACAATGAAGTCGACAACAGGCAAAAAGTGTTGCAAGAATGAGTCTGGCTGGGGGCAGGGGGCAGGGGCACACACTGTGGCAGTCAACTGACCATGCTCTCATCATCGTCGCAGTCGCAGTCGCAGTCGCAGTCACAGTCCCAGGCTCATGATCGTAATTTACTATTCACAAAATATTCAGAACTACTGCACAAGTGACACTCGAATGCCTTTTCGCAGTCCCAGTCACAGACGACCCGTTGCCCGGCTCCAGCTCCAGCTCCAGCTCCAGCCTCCTCCTCCTCATCATCCTCCTCATCATCCTCCTCATCATCCTCCTCATCATCCTCCTCATCATCCTCCTCATCATCATCATCATCATCATCATCATCATCATCAGCAGCAGCAGCAGCAGCATAATCATTATTATCATCAGCATGGACAACATTGTCTGGCAAGTGCCAAAAGTGTTTTGTGTTGCCGTCAGCTTTATGAAAGGGTAGAACAACTTAGGCATGAAGCATGCAACGTAGTTTGACGTTGTGGCATGTTGCGGCGTGTTTTTGATTCGTTTAACTCTGCAGAACTGTAGAAAAGCTCTAGCTAATTTAACATAAGATTAACCAGAAAGCACATGAAAGCTTTTTGGCTGAACTATGAGTGCACAATCAGCGCAATGAGAGCTCAAGCTAAAGCTTTCCAAAGGCTTACATCTGTATTCGGTTTATAGAGTGCATGCAGTAAGACTCCGTGTAGAGCTCAAGCTCAACTTTTCATGTACATAAAAGCTTTATGCTTTATTAAAGCTAACCCTTAAAGGCTTAAGTAGAGATTGTCCCTTAAAAGCTTAAGTAGAGATTGCGACTCGTCCAAACAGTTTAAAAAGCTCATTAAAGCTCTCAATTGATTCAATTTAATTTAATTAAAACAGTTGAGCTTAAACAAAGCTCATTTTAAGCTGCACAGTTAGCACCTAAAAAGTTTAAAAAGCTCATAAAAGCTCGAAGTTGAACTAAGGCTGAAGCCCTATCAAAGCTCCCTTAGGCTGCATGCAATGCACCTAAATAGATGAAAAGCTCATTAAAACGTTAACTGGACTACAACCAATCAGTTTTAAAAGCTCATTAAAGCTTGAGGCTGAGCAAATACATTATATTAACGAATTTAAGCTCGTCAGAGTTACACGAGTTAGCTCTTGACTCTTCTATTTAAATCGTATGAGATCTCATAAATGCCTCGAACAGAAATAAGTAAAATTCACAATAAATCTAAAACCTACCTGCATTTAAGTTGTTAGCATATGCCAAGTTAAGTGGAACTCAATTGATAATGTCTAGCCCAAGGCGTATTTAAATTTCATTTGATTTCATTAGCTTGGCCATAAGCTTTATTTAGGGCATTTCAACTTCATTCAAATGTCGATTATGTCCCTTCCTTCACTCTCTCCACCTGCGATTGTTGTTGTGTTGTTGTGTTGCCTAGGGCAGCGATTGTCTTGCCTCGTCTACGATTCCATTTGCCTGGGCAATGCCTGGTATTGCTGTTGACTTTTGCAGTATTGAAGTTGGAGCGATTGTTGTGGCCAGGAGTTCGGTGTGCACACAAGGTACTCGTGTCCTTAGCTCACAAAATATCATTAGCAAATACAAGTGTAAAAGCATTTTATTTTAGCATTTGCCTGCACACCGTAAGCTGAATTTAGATCAGGGATTCTATTGGGAAGCGGACGAAAATGATTTGGCCAAGCCAATGCCGCAGGCAGCTGACGAAGGGCAAAAGAAAACGGCTGAAGGATGCAACTCCAACTCGCAGCTGGCGGCACCCACTCAAGCGCTTTTCAATAGCATCGCTCAAACGGAAGAATTCTGCACGCGAATGCAATGCCAGCAGCCACCCACGGGGCAAAGGGCAAAGGGCAAAGGGCTGGGGACATAGGATAGCTAACGGAGGATAATCAGTTTTCGGTTGTAAGCAACTCGATGTTGAGCACAAGTTTTGCCCATTTTATCCAGTTGGCCAGCTGTTGCAGCACACTTGAACCATTTCCAAGGCGCAGCGCACAAGTGTGCTCCTGTCGAGCGTGCCCAACGGACCGATACCCTGTATTTGGCCAAGAGCTGCACTTTGTGCCGTTGTTATTGTGCTGTTGCTTCTTCCTTTTGCTCTGCAATATGAGATCCGACCCTAATGTCAATCGATATATATCGATATGTTAATGCAAGATATGTCTGCGCTGGATACCACAGAATCCATATACTGAAACTTTCCAATCGCTGGTTCGTTCAGGCAGAAGGACGGACAGACGATTAGATCGTCAACCCGATCATGAACCGACTGCTAAATACTCTTTTCTTTATCTTGACTTTAGCTAGCAGACAGATACCTTAATGAGTATATTGAGATATATATATAGCTATATCTTACAATCCTTGCTATACAGATCAATTATATACATATATATATAACTGACTTTAGCAGATTTAAGACTAGCCCAATATGCCCTGTCTCGCTCGGCAAAAATGTTCGTGTAAAAAAAAAACCATATAGATAAACAACAACAACAAAAAACGAGCAAACTTTTGGCTTATTGTTTCAGTTTTGGTTGGGGCAAACACGATACACAATACACGTGCACCGGGCACAGGGCACCGGGCACAGTGGGTGCGGTAAGTGCTCGCACAGCGGCAACTTGCAGCGCCATAAAACAAGCTAAACTATAAAAAATATCTAAAAGAAGAAGCAGCCGAAAACAATTACAAATACAAACTGAACAAAACAACATCTGCGGGACAGGTGGGCAACACGGCGTCCATCAGCGGCAGCTCAACCGCCCCCACACCACCCCCTGCCCTCCTCTGCCCCCAGCCCCCGGGCCATGCATATGTTTATGAGGGCAGGCGAATAAAAAATCTTTTTACGACTTGCTCGCTACACATTTACCAAATCTGCAACACTCTGACGGCGCCCCATGCCACAACACTCTCCTCCCCCCTCCCCCCTCCCCTCTTCTCCACTCAATCCGATTTCCCCTTCTGGCACTAGACATTAGCAATGCGCATAGCCGCTGTGAAAGTTTATGGCCGCCGCCTGTGGCATACAATTCTTTGGGCCGCCAACGCTGCGTATGCTTGATATTTGATGCCAGCTCTAAAAGCCGCAGCAACTTATCAAAATGTGAAGGCTGCGGCAGGCGGAGGCGGGAGGGTTTGCCAGCTGTATGGGATGATATCGCAGTACCTGCATGCGGCGCGCGCTCCTCATCATCAGACAGATAGAGGGAGACGAGTTAATTCGAGCTTGCAACACACACACACACATACACACACACAGACACACACGCAGACAGACAGACAGAGCTAAAGGCGTTGCTGGCCATAAAGTGCAAGGATATGTAATGCAATATTTAGCGTCCTTTGAGCGCGCTGCGAGCTAAGTGACAGAAGGAAGGCGCCGGCAAACAGCAGCTATGCGTCTGGCAGCGTGCAGCGTGCAACGTGCAACGTTGCAACTTGCCGCCTGGCTTTGGTGTTTGGCAGAGTTTCTTAAGCTGCTGGCGTCTGCCGCTAGCTACGTGCAACTCGACGCATATCAAGTTGCAACTTGCAACAAATATTAAATCAGTAAAATGTCCTTTAGGGCGCACTCAAATGTAATTGTTGTTGCAGCCGACGTCGTTGTTGCTGCTGCTGCTGCTGCTGCTGCTGCTGATTCTTCATCTTCAGTTGCGAAGCGCGTCAAAATAGCTGCCTGCCCGCGAGTGCTTATGGCGCCCCATGCAACACTCTCCCTCTCCCTCTCTCTCTCTCTCTCTCACGCACAGTGGTACAACTGTGAGCAAAAGGCTGCAAAACAGTTTTGAGCCAAATCGATTTGAATTTTGTCTATATCATAGACAATTATCAAAAAGAAGTTAAGGCCAAAACTGAATCGAACCATTTTGAAAATGAGTGAAAAGTGTTTAATGTATTTGTGCAAATGTATGTAACAGGCGGACAGGAAGCATCTGCGACCGCATAAAGTATATATTTTTAATCAAATATTGCTTTGATTAAAAAATGTACAGGAAACTGCTTGGCAAACGTGACGTCGGACTAGCAGGGGGCAAGTCAGCGGTTCAAACCCATCTTTTATGTGCATTCTCCTTATCCGTATGATTTTCATAATATATATACATATATAAAGGCTTCAAAATGATACTTGAAATATAATTTTTAAGCAGCGATACAATAGAGTGCGCACCACAGTGCTCGGGTGAGTCACGGCGTTTTTTATTACGCACCATGATGAGACATTGTTGGGCGCGTGTTAGTGATAGATACCGCTACTCAGGCAGCTGAAAGATTGTGCTAGTGCAAATGCTTTTCACGGCGTATGAAATTACGGCCAAGCAGCCTTCCGAGAGCCGTTCACATGCCCGGCACACAGAAGCGAAACGGCAACCAGAGCCGTAGCCAAGTGGCCATGGCTAAGTGCTGCGACACAAGCTGTGGCTGAGAAGCGCAGAGAGAGGCACTGGCTGCGAGGGGTTAAGGCTGCAACTGCGACTGCGGCAGCGGCAGCGGCAGCGGCTGCCAGTTTGAAGCATTGTAATTTGATGTTGCGGTCCAGGTACAGTTGTGCCTGGCAACGCGCTGCGGTCAGCGGCTTGCAACGTGCGGATGTTTGCGTTTGGGCAACTTTTGTGCGCCTGTCGCCAGCAATTTCCTGTCTCAAACACGTTCAGCTAACGTATATTTATGTGTGTGTGTGTGTGTCGTATGCATATATTTGCGCAATTTATTTATAGTTGCTGCTCGGTTATTAAATGTGCGCATAAATATACATGGGAAATTTATTAAGTTTTATGCTCGAGCGCACAGCAGACGACTCTGCATTTTCTTCGTCGTCTACACGACACGCAATGCAGCAGCTGTCGCCTCTCTTTCGCTCCACTCTCACTCCCTCCCCCTCTCTCCCTCACCCTCTCTCCCTCTCCCCCGCTCCCTATCTCGTTCTCTCTGCCCTCTGCTGCCGTGTTACATTGCGTGCGAAGCTTTAAAGCAAGTTTGTCAAGCTTAGAATTCAACAAAAAACAGGGCTGCATCAAATTAGACAGCTGCGCTATTGCAGCTCGACTAATGGATACCCTCTAATATATGATTGCCTATACGTAGAACTTTACGAGCACCGAATTTGTATTATAAATGGGAATTGGCTCATCACAATTAAGCTTAAAATGTAATTAAAGCAGGGTATGCCATCTGACTGTGAGTCTTAAGGCTCGTTCAGCTTGAAGAGCTATTGCTGCTTATGCATATTATAGGGTATATATAGTCTTCTACTATGTGCATATCAGATTTTGTACAACTTTTTTACATTTTCTTTGGTTGAATGGTAAAAAATGATTGAAAAACAACACAAGCTGATTTACAGGGTATATAAAGTCGTTCTCCCGATTGCATACATTTCTATAAATTGATTATGCTATTTTCACACCTACTTTGCTAACAGTGTATAGAAAGCGTAGTCAAGAATTTCACAATTTGATGTTATTTGACACTTTCACGGGGTATGCGTAGTCTACTACCGCTTGTTGCACAGATTTGAACAACTTTATTGCACATTCCTCACACACACGCGTCAACCGGGCACAAAAAACTAATATATATTTGAAAAGCCGTTGTTGGTATGAACTATACAGGGTATCTATGGTCTGCGAACACCCGATGTTAAGGTTTTTTATAACTTTAAGCGAGCTACTTTAGCATTAGTTTGGCAACGGGCTAGAAAATTACATTAGGCACTTTACAAGCTGCTGTTATTATGCACATTACAGGGTATTCGTGGTCTACTACTCCCCGTCACCCAGTTACGTACACAACTAGAACTTTATTACACACTTTTTTTTTTTGGCACAGAGTATAAAATATCCATAGACAAAAGTCAAGGCAGCGCATTAGGCACGTGTTACAAGGGCTAAGCTGCATGGCCAGCGGGGCGGGGCGGGGTAGGGGCGGCTGTGGGGCGGTATAGAAGGCGGCCCTGGGTGTTGAATTCTGTCACATGGGCGTGGCATTGTCGCCGCTTTGCACATTTGACGCGCACTTTCCTTTAACGAGCCAAATTGTGTGCAGCAAAGTTTGAGTTTTTCCTGCATTCCAACTATTTAGATACGTGTGAGGCGTGGATAGAGAGCGTGGCCTGGGGCGTGGGGCCTGGGGCGTGGGGCGTGGGGCTGGCAAAGTTGAAGCCGCCAAGTGATTGATGGCGCAAACTAGCTAAAAGCATAAGAAAAACTAGTTGACTTGATGCCAACGTTGCCACATGATGTACCAGAACCTAAATGGAATCGATTCTGTTTGCTTTGTGACCCGGTTCAACTATTGCCAAACCAATTGCTGGCTCAATTTAATCAACCGATATTTCAGATTTCACAACAATCACATAAATGTTCGTCCCCTCTACGCTCCATTTCACACATAACCGCATGGGCTTGCCAGAGTTGGGTAATATGAGCATTAGCATAAGGGAGAATATAAGTTTTCCCGTTTTACCACGAAACTCGGTTTCCACTGAGCGCAGTGGATTTGCCGAAAACGCTGAATCACGTCTTAAATGCTTTCTCATGGATGTTTGAAATGGTGTGTAAAGCAATTTGCAAAGTTGTCAATGAAAAAATCAATGCCAAATGTCTCATGCATTTTTTGCAAAGGAAGCATAAACTCTGTTTCCACTGAGCGCAGTGGATTTGCCGAAAACGCTGAATCACGTCTTAAATGCATTCTCGTGGATCTTTGAAAATGTGTGTAAAGCGAGTTGCAGAGTTGTCAATTAAAAAATCAATGCCAAATGTCTCATACATATTTTGCAAAGGAAGCAAAATATCAAGTTGACAAGGCCAGATTTCTAATTGAAGGCTTCTCGTACAGACATCGACTATCTTTTTCTACGATTTAGAGTTGGGAATTTTCGACTCACTGTAGAAGTTCTTCTAGCATTAACAGTTTAGGCTGTGCGCCAATCAGCCAGTCAGTCTGAAGAAACTCTGGCATATACATAGATACAAAGAGCTTGTGCTTGGAGCGCACTCTTTGGCCAATTCAGTTACAGTTTCCTTTCCTTTCGTTTCCTTTCCTTGCCCCAGCCGCGCACCTTATCAGGAGCTTACAATCGTTCATCTCCATGCTCACGTATTCCTTTGCATTGCTCATCAAGTAGACACCATGGGAGGCCCTGCCGTTTCCGCTCTGCGCACCCGGCTGCAAACTGCAGCGTTGACAAGCTGTCCCATCAGCCACAACCCACCATCCCCCCCTTGTAACTCCCCTGGCCCCACACAGAGCAGTACAACAACTTAATTTGCACTATTCAGTGTCGTTGTCATCGTCGGTGTTGCCGTCACCATTGCCAGCGACTGGCAGCGTCGGTTGCTTGTTTTTTATTATGGCTCGCTCTGCCAAATTGTATCCGTGCCATTGTCATAAAACATGCGAAGAGCACTCGAACCACGGTGCGTATGTGTGATATTTGCAGTCATTGTTAGCCGTCGCCAGGGCTGGGCAAGCACGAATTTACAGCTGCAAAACAGTGTGACCGTATCTAAATAGCAGTGTTTTTCAGTGTAACCAGATGCTGCTGGCTAAATACGCTTATTATAGTTCAATGTGACCGTACTGCAGTTTAGAGTGACCTTATTCTCAATTTTAATGTGACCGTATTCCGATTGAATATGCTTGCAGTTTAATGTGACCGTGACCGTTTTATCGGACGATCGCAATGCAAACTCTGGAGCGTCAGTTGCACCATATTATAATGAGACTGGATTTAAGTTTATTTACACACGATTGTATTTGAATATGTTCGTATATTGCCATTTGCCCATTTAAGTGTGACCATAGATCAGTTAAATACCGAGTACCTTATTGTTTATTTTCAGTGTGCCCACATATTCATGGCATATCGCTTCTGTCTTCCCCATTTTCGTGTGTGACCGTTTATCACATTAGCTTAGCTGGTCACACCGCCAGCCCTGATTGCTACAGTAATTCGTTGTTGTTGCTTTTGTTATTATCTTCTTCTTTTTTTTTTTTATATTTTACGCTGCGTTGCTGCCATTTGTGATTTGGCTTTCCTTCTGTGGCCGCTGCGTCTGTTTTCTGTTTTTTTTTTTTCCCCCCCCCGCCACACTTCGTTTCGTTTACTTTCGCACCCGCTTGCTGCTCTATCTCAGATATCCCAACCTTATGCTAGATGCCAGGATGAGTTGATGTCGCCAGCAATGAGTTTTTTTTTTCATATATTTTTATTATTTGTATTTTATTTATATTTATTTTTGTTTTTCAGCGCGTGGCGCTGTGTGTCACAGTTTTAGTGTGTAAAGTGCAAACAATCAACACAAGCGACTTTCTGCAACTGCCGCATGATGCACTTGCCAGGCCAAGATTGCCGCCCCATATCACACAAACAAACACCCAACCCCCCCCCTCTCTTCCAATTCCCCTCTAACCATAGCTCTGCGCAGCAAGTTTGTCTTCTTCACACTGGTTACTTTTGCTGTTGCTAACTTTGTTGTTGCCGCTTGTCAAACGCTTGCAGCTGTTTTTTTTTTTCCAGCTTGTTTCTGTCACTATTACATTTCATATTTCTATGCTCTGCAACATGCCACCGACACGCCACCGCCACCGCCCCCCCCCCCCCCCCTCTCTGGCCGACAGCATATGGCAGCGACTGGTCGGTTGTCCACCTCCACCTCCTCCTCCAGCTCTTCCTGCTCCTCCTGCTTCTGCTGCTGCATCTTTTTTTTCCATCGCCTGTTCACATTTGTTTGTTCGGTTTTGCTTCGCATTAAGCTCAGTGTGGAATTTCACCCGTTTTCCACAGCGGCCTCCCGCCTCCCGCCCCCCGCTGGCCACAAGGCAAACACCTAGCAATTTGTATGCACTTGCAAGCCAAATGATTTGTGTGGCTTGTGAATGAATGAAACGAATGGGAAGTGAAATCATTTTACCAATAGATCAGCCAAATTGAGCGTGCGCTCTTCCACTTTACTCCACATACTCTGCAGTTCAACCACCCCCCCCCCCCCTTCCCATCCCAACCCACCCCCTCGCCCTTTGTCTGCGCAAATTGTGAACTGGTTGACGCGAACAATTTGCATTTCTTTTCGCATACAAATTCTGTACGTAAACCTAATTGTTTTGACAACAGCTTTAAGCCCATTTTCAGCGGGCTTTGAATTGATTTCATTTAGCAAATAATACCAAATCGTATTTAAGTCCATTTGACAGTTTTTGCACACACTTTTTTTGCAACTGAAAACTTTACTAATTAAGCCAAAGGCCTCAGTTAAGTTAATTTAAAAACTTGTTTTGTTTTGTTACAGGCGGTAAAAATTCAACCTTGAATGAAAGGCAAAGAATTTAATGAAAAAAAAAAAAAACAAAACAGAACATTTTATATAGATTTGGGGCACAGAGCTAAAATTTCCAATTAATTGACTTCCGAATTCTTTGTGTTGTCAGGCACGCAGAGAAGCGTACTTTCCAACACTGGAGCTGCAGTTAAGAGCTGAAAAATGTACTAGAGAGTGGAGAGTTTTGCGAGTAAATTTGATTTTTGATGTGCCCCTCAGAGCCTTCGTGCCAACTTCTTTAAACTTTTGTCCCGTTCTTCACATTTATACAATTTAAATATATGCATACACACATGTACATATATCATTTTATATTTGGGAATATCTAAGATAGCTTAGCTTGAGACTTCAAGGCATCATAAAGTCTTACATAATATGAATGCGGTTCTTATACATTTTATATGCTTGCAAAGGGTCGCACGGTTTTCATATGCAATATGCAAGGCCTATTATATATATATACATATATATATATATTTATAGATACATAGACAAGTACTTTACATTCAGATCGCGATCGGAACAATATTATCAACATTTGCTATGGGCACATTCAGCCTTAAAGTAATTTTTAATTGGTTAACCTGTTCTTTCGACTCCATCATTATGAGACTTCGCATTTAACGTGTGTTGAATAATTCTATAATTATACTGAAGCTGAACTTAAATAGCTTAGTTATCTCATATATTTGCCATAGGTTTTTTCTCTAAGATTTGACGGGACTTTTGTGCATTTCACTTAATTTACTTGTCCATTAACTAGGGTATTTAATGTTCATCATTCTGTAGTGCAAAGCAAACAGCATTTGTGCCCATTAATTTCCATGCAAAGCTTATGTTAAAAATGACAATGACAACAGATTTTGTGTGTACGGTAAGGGTATTCAATAGTCGTGAGCAGGGCCCGCTGTCATTGCTGCAATGCTTCATTACGGATCCCCCATTTAAATTTTGAAGTTCGCATTGTATTGTGCTCTCCGGTTTTTTATCGCCCGCTCCCTCTCGCTCCCTCTCGTTCACTTTCCCACTCTACTTAAATGTCAGATTTATACGGCATACTGTAAAAAGAGCATAAAGCAACAACAACAACAACAACAATAACAACTCCCCGGACAGTCGCTGAGTGAGTGATACGATTGTCCCGCTGTCCCAGTGTCCACTCTAGGTCCAAAAGTCCAGTCCAATGTGAAACAGTAAAACAGTCAACACCGAAGCCAGCCTCCAGCTCCCAGTTCCCAACCCATCCCGGTCCGGTCCGGTCCGGTCCAATCCAATGCAATCCGCAGTTCGCTGCTGTCATAAACGTATAGCACAGGAGCAGAGCACGGCGATGCGGGGGAGGTTCACCGGGATAGTCGTAATCCCAAAACATATACTTGCAAGTGCGCTCAAACCAACAGGCAGCTGGCAAACAGACAAACGAACAATAAACCGGAAGCAGAACGAAAAACAATGTGACTGCTGGGCCAGGGGACGGGGGCAGGGGCGCGCGCCAGCAGGGGGCTGTCAGCTGACTAAGGGTGTGTGTGTGGGGGGATTTGGCTGTAGCAAAAACTGAATAAAAATAATTAAGCTGCTGCTGACGCACTTTTTCGGCACGCTAAGCACGTGACACTGGGTGGTGGAAGGGGAGTGAGGGGGGAATGGGGGAAGGGGGTGGAAAGGGGGAGCGGCGCACGACAATGGGTTATAGCTGTGACACGTAACGCCATCAAGCAGTTGGCCATTAAGCATGAACTGAGCAGCAGCAGCAGCTGCTTCAAGCAACAACATTGCCCTCTCCCTCTCCCTCTATCCACCCCCCCCTCCCACTCGCCAGGAAAGGCAGCTCTTCCCCACCCCCCCTCACCCCTTTTTGCAACAAAGTGTTTTTCTAATTTGCCCCCTTAGTCGTATAAACATTTCGCGCATTATTAGAATTTCCCTCAAAGTTCGTCTGATATGCTAGGCAATGCCTTTTCTTTTCAATTGCGACAGTTTTTCGCCTTTTTTATGACCAGCCATATATACATATACATATATATATATATATATACTTAATTGCAGTTGCATAACTCAAATACCGGTTGGGATATAAACCTGGAAGGAATTTCGTAAACGTCTCTGATGATATTGACGTTCAGGCGTAATAGCTGATTCATTTTTCGGGGCCCGACTCTGTTGGTCTGCTGCTAATTATGCAGTCAGTATGCAAGGGTTCCATTTTGTTGTAATTACGCACCCCCCCCCCACCCCACCCCCAAAAAACATGACCCACTTGGAAACACTTTGACCCTGATGCGAAACACTAACTAACTAATCCAAGGGAGACGCTGACGCTGAAGCTGACGCTGACGTTGCCTGTCATTTCAGCTGAACGCTTCTGGCTATTGTGCTCTCTGTGATTGTTGTTGCTTTCGTGTTTGCTTTCTATATACCCTGTAGATGGGCACTAGGCGAAGAAGGTATCGGAAGGGGACGAGAGAGAGAGAGATACGGGGAGAGAGAGCGCAATTGAGCGACATTTTCGCTCAACCTCGCGCCATCAGATTTGAATTCTAGAATTCGACAACTTCTGGGAAATATATCATCCAAATTTTGTTACGTTTATACTTTCAGGCTGTCCTGCTCTCATTATCTTTATCTGAAAAAAGCGCAGAAAGTGTAGTTGGCAATCGATAATTATCGCTTTTGCGAGTTATCGATTATTTGATGTTAGCCTGATCTGTGTTCCATCACAGAGCTCATCAATCAGCTCATGTGTGCATCTGCTCTTACAGGGTATCTTCGCGTCAAGAGCTTCCCCGATTAGCTTGTTTGTTTTTTTTCAACTATTGTTTTATCTGTTCTTTTTAATTTCGTTTTTGTTTCGTTTTTGCTTCGTTTTGTGTTTTGTTTTGTGCTCTCTTTTTTTTTTTTTGAATGCTTCTAATGAATATGAAGAGCAGCTTGCATAATTTACAATGCTGCCGACAGTCAGCCAGAAAAGGACAACTCGGACGAGGACAAACTCCAATTGCATTGAATGACATGCGTTTTGGGGCTTTAAGGTTTAAGGGGCCCAAATAAAACTCAAGTCGCGAGCGCACGACCCTCAGATAGCCTGTCAAGAACATTAAGTTAGCCGACTCTTGTTCTTACCAGCTTCTAAGTCTGGTTAAAGAAAACCGAATCTAAATATGGAAAGGGATAACCCTTAGTTCTGCATCGCGACAGTCGAATGGCACAGACACACTGAATATGCTGCCAGCTGTGGCAAACTGTTGCCAAAGAGGCATCACACCCGTTTGCCCGGTAAGTACAGGGTGCTCGCTCTCGCCTAACAGAGACAAACGACAGTGAAATGTGTCAAAAATTTGTGATGCAACTGGCAAAACAAGTTTTTGCATAATTGTTAAATTCGTGCGCTTCTCCATTTTTATGCGACATTCGGTCGTTTTTTTTTTTTTAGTGTGTCTGCCACGCGGCGTATGCGCAACATGATTAAAGCCAGAGCACAAACGAAAGGCAGCCATGTTTTTGAGGCACGCACAGGGCTCCAATAAATAAATAAATATAAATAAATAAATGCAAAAGTCAGTTGCCGTGACGACTCACGACATCGCAACTGACGACTGACACCAGCCCAAATATATTACAAGTTCTTCGGCAAACGCATGTCACACGCCGTCCAGGTGGGGCAACTAGGAGGGGGCAGGGGGCGCAGGGGGGGGCATGTTTGACGCTTTGACGCCTTGACAGCTGCTGCGGCTAAAATCAAACGGGCCAAAAGCTGCGCCACTCGATTTGCCGACACGCAAAACGTTGCCGTCAATGGGGACATTTTCAGTTTGACAGGCCCCATCGCTGGCGACAATTCCCGCTGACGGCAACGACATCATGGCCATTCGCGATGACGATGTTGCCGCTTGTTGCAGAGTGCCGTTTTTGTGGGGCAAACACCTTTCGGTGGGCGTGGCGTGGCAAGGCGAGGCGAGGCGAGGCGAGGCATGGCCCCAGCACGGCTTGGCCCAACACTTGCCAGCATCCGGCCACATGGTTAATAGAAGAACGGGCGCCACTTGGGTCCTACCCCCCCCCTCCCACCGTCTTGTCCACCACCCCTTCAACCGTGGCAGACAGTGTGCCACAAATATATTTCAGGTTGCACGTTCACCCTGCCACTTACGAGCGCTTTTCGGTTATTTTTAATATGTGTACGTGACTTTCGTCTAAAGAAAAAAAGTGTATTCGCCTTGCGACGTCTGCCTTTGACTAGGGCCTGCCTTGAGCCCAGCCAATTGAGCTTTTAGCGAAAGCTTCACGATCTGCAGTGCTGCAAGGCCCACCACCATAAGCTTTATGATCGTGGCGTGGTCTGAGCAATGCAACGCAATCAACCTGGCCATATTAAGCTCTAAAGC